CAACCACAGAGGAACTGGCTGTCTTGCCTTTAACTGCCGGAACACAACAATGCTGTTAGTATAGTTGTTATGGCAACAGAATTCGATAAAATAGTGATTTTATGATGACTTAGGTAAATATGTATCAAGTCTTTGGACAGGACTTTTAAAATTTAATATTAATGGCAACCCTAGTTCCGCAATCTCGATTCTCGGGCAACATCGGCGTCTCAAACAACAATGCCTGTCTCTGGAGCTATTTTTGATAGGAAATTGCCTCCGCGCCTCCTGAGATACAATCCGCAATGATGTATTTTTAACGCGGCAATATCGAAACAATGCCATCTGCGATTTTTGTGTCGCCATTATTTGGGAGAATTGGAAATGGGAATCCTTACTGGAACAGTGTAGGGATAGGGGATTAGGACATTCTTGTCTAGTGTTTACTTAAGTAATAGCTAGCAAACACTGTCCCTCATCTTAAGTTATATTGGGTCTGTTTTTATTTATTTTACGAGTATTCAGTAGGTTGAGACAAAGACTAAATAAATCTGCTGAATTATTTATTTGAAATCTTGATTGCACACACAATAAATATCGGTACAACAGGCGAGCTTAATGCCATGTGGCATTCTCTTCCAGCTTATCTATGTCAGCAATGACCACTGTTACACATTATCAATCAATCTGAGTAGGTCTATGTATATTCGTGGCAATCGATCTTTTTTAGATGGCGACATCAAGTTAATAGTACTAATACTAACAAAGCTAACTTGCTAGTTTCCCGCGAAATATTAATTGGAATAATAAAAACGACCATTTATTTACTTCAAACAAACCGATTTTAAACAACATAACTTATCCACAATCTCCGGAAACGCGAAACTAACCTTGAACTTCCAGAGACGACTTCATAAAGCTTCAATTTCAAAGGAAAACGAGTCTTAACTTTGTGGTGTAAGTCTGGAAATTGAAGGGCAGTGTAAGACGGCAATAGCTTAGTTCATTGGCTCTGAGAAAAAACCGATGGCATAGGAACCTTGGGATCACGCGATGTGGTTAGGGCAGTGTTGCCAGAAGGTTACTTTTGTAACCTTTTAGGTTACTTTTGTAACCTTTTAGGTTACTTTTGAACTGCTGTGGTTACTTTTAGGTTACACTAATGAAAAGGTTACTTTTAGGTGATTTTTCAGAAATTGTAGAATTAACTTTACAGGTTATTCAGTAAAAAATATTAATAGTGACAATTTAAAAATTATGTCATAAAGTGCATTTATTATTTGTTAAAAAAAAAATAGTTTCAGCGAATGTTTTTCGATAATAAAACGCAAATCCATGAAACGTTTTTATACGACTGGTCACTTTTCGAATTTAGATGATCAATTGTANGTGACGTGTGAACCAGCCATCGCTTCACTCGACCATATTAAATAAATATAGCTTGCCCTACCACCACTTCGGAACAACAAATTATGGGCTCTAAAATTTGGCAACCAGGAAAAAGCGCGTGAAAACCTCTGATCTTAGATCCCAGAACCTGGACTACAAATGAAACCCCGTCCGGACGCCATTTTACTAGGTCAAATCCGGGGAAACCCGGACAGATGACAACCCTAGATGTGGTATACAGAGAGCACATTAGTCTATCCAGTATTGTTGCAAATTCATTCCTATTACAGCTGCATAAGACCTCAACCTTGACGTGCCTTCGATCTTTGCAGAACTAAATGGGGCTAGTCGGTTGATGGAGGCGCCAAGTTTACTGGATTTATGACTGTTCTTAATAACGTCATAGAAGCGTGTTTCGCTATTTTTGATTCTTATCTTCATGATCATCGATCAGCCTCTAAAAGTCCTTTGAAGGACATAGTTGGCCGTTTGCTTTGTATCCAGCAGTTTCCTACTACTACCTAACATCATCTATGATACATTTAAATTACTGTAATCGGGACAAGGTGGACAGACGATATCATAAAAGTATAAGGTTCTGAATGCAGGCCGCTACCTAAATCAAGGTAGTAGTGGTAGGTCAATCTGAAAATTATTGGGGGAGGCCGATGTTCAGTAATAGACGTCCTGTGGCTGAAATAAATCTGGCTCTGTGTAAATTAGACAGAGCCCGGCAAGCGAAAGGTCGTGGGTTCGATCCCCGCCTTAGGCAGTTCGATTTTTTCAAGTTATTTATAATTTTCAAAAAGAGCCATACTCTGCAGTGGTTTATTATTGCTTCAATAATGGATATGGAGAAAATGCAAACTGTAAGCGATTGCGCATATTTATCGTATTGGAAGAACCAATTACCAAATTAATTTCCTTCCCGACTGAACTCGAGTTCAACTTGGTACGTAAGTAGATCATTACATAAGTTGGTTACACCATTCCCATAATAACTGACGTCAAAATTAGTATGAGAAAGCTTGTTAATTATACGTTACTTGGAATTGTACGACTTCTTCAAACCACAAGGTCGTTCGTAATAACATTACAACTTGAAAGTTGAAACTACAGAAAGATAATTAAGTTAGGTGATTATTCCAAAAAGTTTTCATTTTTAGTAGTCTATTACTAAGCTTTAATTTTTAATAAGTACCTTACTTACTAGGTACTTCATTATAAGAAAGGTTACGTCATAGCTAGTTATCGTATAGAAATTAAGAATATTCTTTACACTAAGGCTGGGTTGCACCACTTTAACCGTAACAATAACAATAACCGGTGCTTTTTGTATGGAGTTTGACAGATTTTTGACGTTTATCAAAGTTAAAGTAAGATGGTAAAGCCTAAGGCTGAGTTGCAACCACCTTATTTTAACCGTAACTATGACGATAACTTGTGTTTTTTTTAATGCAGTTTGACAGACTATTGACGTTGGTTAAAGTTAAGTAAGATAGTGCAATCCAGCCTAAGACATTTTATTTATTCACATACAAAGCTTGTCTCCAGAGTATAACTATTAGTTGGATTTTAATTGCTATTATTTACTAGTAATTCCGTTCTATCAATAACGATATTATTGTTATCATTTATTAATTAGGTTCTACCAATAATGATATTTTTGTGTTTGTCATCATTAAATCGGATCTCAACGAAGTTAATTGCTTTACCTGAATACCTCTTACCAAATTAATGATTCTGTTATAAATGCTTTCGACTTCTTATCTTCGAAGCGGACTAAATGTTGTTTATCAATTTCTCCGACATTGTTAAAAGCAGTTATTAGTTGTTCCTAATCGGATTTCGCTGAAATTCTGAAACAAATACAAGTTCAGGTGAAAGGAAGGATTATTTATGGTTGTTCTACAAAAGAGCTAAAGACCATTATCAATCAATTATAAGTTGGTTCTCGTGTAAGATTATAAATAACTAGCTTTTGCCCGCGGCTTCACCCGCGTGAAATTTAGTTTGTCACAGATCGTCATAAATTATAGCCTATATGTTATTCTGAGTTATAAACAATAATACTGTAAAGTTTCATCAAAATCCGTTCAGTAGTTTTTGCGTGAAAGAGTAACAAACATCCAGACATCCACACAAACTTTCGCATTTATAATATTAGTAAGAAGTAAGATTAGCGTTTGGTTCTTGACTGTACGTTCTATAAAATGAAACCCAAGTAAACTAGCTACAAGTAGGCACTATTCTCAGAAATTACTGGTCGGATTTGAAAATCATTTTTTTTTGTGATAGATTTTCAAGGCGAGAGCGAATAGGCATTGGATATGCATTGGATTTTGGACAGGGCAGATATGTACCATTCTAGACTGCATCCCACTTAACACCAGGTGCGATTGTGGTCAAATACCTGCCCTGTTAGGTATTCATAAAAAAATAACCCATCGCGGTCGCGAAGTCACGGGCACAGCTAATCCAAGATTACAATTTATAAAATACTAGCTTTCCGCCCGCGGCTTCGCCCGCGTGGAATTTTGTCTGTCACAGAAAAACTTTATCGCGCGCGTCCCTGTTTCAAAAACCGGGATAAAAACTATCCTATGTTCTTTCCCGGGACTCAAACTATCTCTATGCCAAATTTCATCAAAATCGGTTGCGAGGTTTAAGCGGGAAAGCGTAACAGACAGACAGACAGACAGAGTTACTTTCGCATTTATAATATTAGTTGGGAAGATTACAATTTATAAAATACTAGCTTTCCGCCCGCGGCTTCGCCCGCGTGGAATTTTGTCTGTCACAGAAAAACTTTATCGCGCGCGTCCCTGTTTCAAAAACCGGGATAAAAACTATCCTATGTTCTTTCCCGGGACTCAAACTATCTCTATGCCAAATTTCATCAAAATCGGTTGCGAGGTTTAAGCGGGAAAGCGTAACAGACAGACAGACAGACAGAGTTACTTTCGCATTTATAATATTAGTTGGGATACTAACGTTAATCTCTCCAGTAAATTATGTTACGTAGATTTGGTGAATCCATCATTTTTCTTGATCAAAGAATAATAAAATTTTATTTATGCTTTCATGTTCATTTAAAACTTTTTGAAGGCAATCATGGATTGTGCCAGCTACTTTACAGGTTGTTTCGTGGATTTATGTAGGCTTCTTTTCTGTTCGTTTTTCCGAGAATGCCTGTAATAGAAACATGCTTGAGTTTGCTTTAAAAACTTAGGTTGTGTGTTTTGGGCGAAGGTTGTGACATGTAAACTTTGTTACTTTTTGAGAATATTTAAACAGTTTTAAAAGACGAGGTCACTGTAACACTATAACCAAATTATTTTAGATATTGGTCTAGCATTTAAGACTTATAAAGTACTGACCGCAAGTTAGAACCAAATGACGTCCACAGCTGGAAAAAGGATTTCCACACGTAGACTTAGTAGGACAATAGCCAGAAGAAAGAAAAAAGTTAAGGTTTTTACAACTGCATCCATCCATCCATATTATTTCTTCTCCTACCCACCTAGCAGGGTGTAGGTATTTGAAATTGAATTCTGCCATTCACCTAGGACAACATATCCTGCAGCCCTAGATCCTTTGTTCGTATGTGGAAGTTAATTGTGGTTGCTTGTTCCAGGTCGCGCAGGGGCCGCCGGTCACCATGGCAACCGGCGTTGAAACAAACCCCTGAAACTATTGGTGAGTAACAACCAGGCATATACATGAATATGAAACATATGAATCCATATACAGCAGACGACAGCAACTAAGAAACACCATGGCATCTTATGTTAGTTGTAATAGGTGTGATTATGCAATCTTCTTCTTCTTGCCGTGTCGACAACAAACATATACAGTGTCAGCCCAAAACTCCGCTACAAGAGTGGCATTGTCAGTGGCATTCATTAAATCTTCCTGCGTGCAGTTGTTTGGGCATTATGCAATAAAGAATAAAATTATGGTCATGCATATACTGTTGACAGAAGTACTTCATGGTATTCATCTGGTTAATTAGGTAACTTAACCGTTGACGTGACGTGACCCAGCAGTCAGACTGGGTTAAAAGTATACGATATCATATCAAGTATACGATAATATCATGTATGGGATTTCGTGGGATAGTTAAAATTCAAATTCTTCAAAATATCCCTGAGTTAATTTTGACTTGATTTGCACAAGACTGCAAATACTAATTAATTCCTTGCTGCTGTTGTCGTTACTTTGTACTGCAATGCAGAGGTTTATTCCAAGTTATCATGCTTGCAGAACTAATTTTTATTTGATTGATTTCTTTATTTCTTTAATATAAAATGAAGAGTACCGTGTTTCGTAAGACACGTTATGCTGCAGAGTCGATTTGTGCCATGTTGAACGCATAGTAAGGCGGTTCATAAAAGTCCGATTAGTAACCACGAAAAAAACCTTTACTGAGTAAATTAATGTCACGCCCGTATTCACAAACGATGCTTGCTTAAATGAAGCAGAAAATCGAACGCACAGCGTTGAATAGAGCTGATAGAGCTTCGCGATTGGTTCATGTGTCACCCTGTGCGTCCACGCGCACTGTGAGACCTCATAGTAATAGAAATGTTTGTGAATACGGACGTCAGTTACACATACAAGTAGGTACAACATTATGCATGTATGAGTCTCCTTTCACGATAGATTAGGAAAATTTTTACCGAAGTTATTCACTGAAAAATGACTTCTTACCAAGTTTTAAACCTACTTTTTGCCGATAAATCTAATTATGAGAAATCTAGAGCGGGAGAAAATGTATCGATAGACTATTTGAAATTCAAATTATCGTCATTATATCGGATTATCGAGCTGTACGATGACAGCGCGATGTTTTGTGACGTTTAAGATAGCATTCGGATCAAGACGACCGCGACGCGAGACCGCGACTCGAGACCGCGACCGGCGACCGGTCGCAGGTCGCAGGGCGACAGCTACTTACGAATCTTCGCGACAAGAGTCGTGCGACCCATACGAAACTCAGTATGCTTGCAGTTACTAAACTAAACGGTTGTATTCCATCCATCTGTAAACAATAAAAATAAGTACCTTTTCTAATAAAAATATGTATCATTTGAACTTACTTGTTTTATTCAATGCTTTTCCAATGTTTTCCCAAATATTGTCTCTCACAGTATTATCTTTATAAGCTTGAAGTCTCGTATCGAATAAAGGTGCGTTTTTACTTACTAATTCTATTAAAATTTCGTCTTCGTGCGAAGAAAACACGGCCATTTTGCATCTGTCGCGCCACGGCACTGCCTTGTGAGCGACCGAGTCGCGCGACGCAAGTAGCCGGCAGGCCACGCCCACACGTCGCGCGACTCGGTCGCTTGCATCCGTCAGCACTTCCTATTAATTCATATAAAGCAGTGGGTCGCGGTCGCTGGTCGCGGTCNGAGCGACCGAGTCGCGCGACGCAAGTAGCCGGCAGGCCACGCCCACACGTCGCGCGACTCGGTCGCTTGCATCCGTCAGCACTTCCTATTAATTCATATAAAGCAGTGGGTCGCGGTCGCCGGTCGCGGTCTCGAGTCGCGGTCTCGCGTCGCGGTCGTCTTGATCCGAATGCTACCTTTAGAGCCAAACACACGATGCGTTGCGGCGCCGCACCGCAACCGAATCGTGCGGCGTGGCTCCGCAATGCTCGTGTGCCCGCTACAGATATTTCCTATGTAAGACGATGCAGCGATAAAAGTGAACTATATGACTAAACTAAACTAAAGGCTATACAATTTGTGCCCATTTAAGTGTTATAAGGGCTGAAGAAGCGCTTTTAACTCCATTATACAGCTCCTTGTACAGCTTTTAGTATCCAGGTAAACCGTATAGATAGAGGCTGCTGTAAGCCTTTTTGTGCTAACTGAACCACTCCGGCGTCGCACCCCCGCCGCAACGCATCGTGTGCTCTGGCTCTTATATCGAGTGCCGAGGCTTCATTTGCATGTCATTTGCGAATTGCTACTTGTTTGCCTCGATGATACTCGACGTGTAATTAATTTGGTTACAATCTTTAGAAAATACAATGATATTGGATCAATATTCATGAGGTTTCTACCTTTTGAAGTAAATACTTCAATTAAGTATCCTTTGTTTGGTTTCTAAATAAAATTACGATATTCTTCTTCATTTCATAAGTGGGGTTACAGCAGTTGTAGATAGAAAGACACTCTCATGAGTTTCACAGAAAAGTTTTCATCTATCACTGTACATCCCGCTGAACGGGATATCTTCTTTTGATTTGACCTTCTCTTGATGATATGCTTTAATTTTTTTTTGGACTATCCCGTGGATTTATTGCCGCTGTGATTCTGCCAAAGTCAAGTGTTTAAGGAGACACGCTATGCTTTAATTCTGAGTGAGAACTGAGATGGAATTTTAATGGCAACCGCACTCAAGCAGTTTACCAAACAACTTTTTAGCCAAAGGACTGACTGAATATTATGATCGGCAAGGACTGATTTGCATCCCTCGGACAACAAAACGTACCTTGTTATTGGTATCGTCCCTTTATCAGTCCAAAGCATAGGTAAACATCTGTTGGATTCTAACCAGTACGACACACTTACGACAAATAAAATAATATTGAATATTGAAAAATAATACACGTCATGTCAGGGTCTCGATCGGTTCACTTGTATCAACGTGTGACGTCTCAAACAATAAATAATTCAGAAAAACTCGACAAACGTACTGGCCCAAATATCGGACGCGTCCTAGTGGCACGCACAGCTGTTTCAATAATATATGACTGCTTTCTTACGACAGTATTATTTTATGCTCCGCTGACTCGGAGGCTTGAATAAATGAGTAAAAGATAAGTTCTGGGCCTTTACTTTAGCCTTTCGTTTCATAAACGTTTTTCTATCGTATGGTCTGTGACTGATGTTAATATCTTAAAGTATTGTACCTAGATACTTTTGCTTAGGTTGCCTATTTATAGAAGTGTGGGAAGAGAGAGAAATGGTTCATCTGCTTCGTACAATATATCAAATGAATGTCAATCATAAAAGGATGATGTCCATGGTCCAAAGATTGCCACGTGTTATTGTCCAGTCGAAATTATATTGTTTCGTTGCAGATCAATAAGTGTTAAGAAGTTTATCAAACTAGGTACATAATTATGGCGACAAATTATACTGCTAATCGCTTACGTTACAATTTCACTGGCGCTTCTAAATCAACCTACATAAATCAATTCCAGTGCCTCATCAGCGAGGCCTGAGCAGAAGCAATGGGGATGTTGCCTGGGTCAAAAAGCAAGAGTTTTAATTAGTCCGTCAGTTAACTTATCAAAAAATACTCTACACGTATTTTTCACTTTTTCAAACTAATGAAAATTTAAAGAGATAAAGCGCCCCAAAGTTCATAAGAAGAGGCCCGTGACGTCAACGCTTGCTTAAAAATGCCGCACGTTGTGACGTCGTGCGCAACTTCAACGCACCATAACTATGTAATTATTTGTTAGATTGACAAATAAAAATATATGTGTCCAATATTTTTTGATATTAAACATTACGGACTAAAAAAATTTTTTTAGGCAACTAGCCTATTACCGCCATTTGGTTTTTAAATCAGCTGCTAAGCGACGGACTATAAATTCATAGCGGAGCTCCCGAGCGCCTCCAGTTAATTGACAAATAAATTAAAAAGACTCGGTCTTTGTGCGAATATTGTATTTTGTTGAGCACCTACATAAATCTATCTTTTATATCCTTAAAGCAACAATGGCTATATCAATTTTTGACGTTTTGTTTTTTTTTATTCCATCTTCGGCCTGATCAACACTTTCCATCGGGTGAGATGCGGGCCAAGAGCTTTCCCATTGTGCTTATAAATGCCTGGTGGTTTCGGTACTCCAGCTATCAGTTGCCACCTCTGTAAGACAGGTCTGGTAAACAACCAATGATAACTCATGAATCAGTAAGTAGTCACAGAGCTTTCTTTCTTAGTTCAATACAAGCATTCGCTTGGGTAGTGTAGAAGCTCAACTCAATTTAGGTAGGTAACCGATGATCTCAAGAAGATAACTGGAAGCGGGTGGATAAAAAAAGAGTGTGCTTGTGTGTTTTTTAGTCCAGCAATAGATTGTATTGACTGCAATGATAAATGATGGGTAATTAAAACACTAGCAACGCCAATCAGATTATTCTATTGCATACGGCTGGCATTTTGAAGGATGCTTTCGACCTCGTACAGATCATGTGAACTATTACCAAAACACGTAACACAACTATTGTGCACGACAATAATGATGAAAGCTAATGTCTGATCCGATTCGACACCATAATTGCTGTGACCATCGACCACGTTTATTTTGAACCCTATAGCTTGAGTATAAAAGCGGTGATTTAGGCTGTCCATGGCAACATAGTGTTGCAACATGGTACAGATATGACCACAGACAGACCCAATTCCCAGGCTCGGTGGAGCGGATCACGGATTTGTTGCGTTCGACTATCTGGAATGAAACGTAATATATCGTTTAAAGCTAAAACTAGATTAAACTTAATTGGATGAAGTAAAAGTGCCTTTAGTGTACGCATTTGGGATGATTGCCAATAGGCTGTGCGATTATGATCATAAAAGTGATCATAGATAAATAAATATCCTTGGACATTTTACACTGCGCCTCTAGTCCCAAACTAAGCAAACTTTTTTAAGATCAGTGATTTTAAATT